TCTCTGGAGAGCACTATAAGTGCGTTCCCAAAATAGAAGGTTTTATGTTCACATAGACCGGAAATGTTGACATGAAAAGTTTGGACGTGCTTGACTGAACTGTTGTTTCTCATGATCTTAAACACTTTTTGATCTGTAGGTTTATGCCTAAAGTCTTGAAATGAGTTTGGTAGAGGTAGACAAATATACACTGAAAAAATGTATCATGGTTTCCACAAAAACATTAATCCTCTATGGTACGGAGTTGCCATATGGCAATAATTAATTTCTACTCATTTCCTTGTTATTCTGAAAAAAACTAAACAATATACTGCACTATGGGAATTAAAAGGGCAGGCTTTAAGGTAGATAATGATGTGCTGTTTTTAAGTCACATGGCATTTGAATGTCCATCCAGAACTCTTTTTCCCATTGTCACCCTCACACGGAAGACACCTGTTGAAGTGCTCCAGAAATTGCTCTATTAACCAAATTTCTAAACATCTCTTCGCAAGGGGGATTGTTTTGTAGCATCTTTGTTAAATAAATGTTATATTTGTATTCACAATTTAACTTTGTCTAACATAGTTTTGCTCTGAGTTTTCATAAGAACACCCCCCCCCCCCCCCCCCCAAAAAATATTTCTTTCAAAAATCTGTTTTGATTTGTATTTCATGTAATTAAAAACTCATTAAAAAAAGATTTCATGGTTAGAACATAATGCATACCATAGAAGGTTAAGCAGCATATACGGTTTTCAACACTGATAATAATAAGAACCGTTATTAATTATTGATAATAATTGTGTAACAGCATAGAATGAATTCTAAAGGAACATGTGACACTGAATACTGGAGTAATGATGCTGAGAATTCAACTTTGCCATCACAGGAATAATTACATATTAAAATATATAAAAATATAATATAGTGTATAATATATAGTTCTTCTGCTTTGTATAAACACCCTGATCTTGTTTCCACTGCCTGCCATTGAAAGGGAGGTGCTGTGCTGTTTTTGGGCTGTTTTCTTGGAATCACTTTCAAAGCAAATGTCTGCAGATGAGTCAGCTCCATCAAAGATCCGTTCTGGGAAGGACTCAGGTCTTTGCTCTGAGTAATATACCATGGTGTTGCAGCTGAATGGTGCAGCATACAAAGAAAGGTGTTTCTTCAAGTAGGGCAACTTTTTGTACACTAAAATATAGATTCTAGTTATTATACATTTTAAATATTATAAACGTTGTTATACATTTTAAACATTCGTCAGTCTGTGCATCAGCTGCTTTGTGATAAGTGAGTCATTGAATCATTCATTCAAAACGATGATTCGTCTAACAATCCAGCGACGACACACCACTGCTGTGGCTTCATTGGAGGTGTTTTTGCTGGCAGGGGGCAAAACAGACAAAGTATATGTCTTGTTTATTACACGGTTACATGAACGCACTTGTAACTGAATTGCCCTGCTGTTTTAGAATAGCCGTTGCGGCCTTATAGATACACATGTTTGTATTCGTAATCATTTGTCAGAATGTAATAACTTGCTCAGCCTATAATCTAATCTAATATAGACTTTCCACAATCCAAACAATTTCTGGTAGAACTCATATTTGAACATTCTTTCTCACTCAGAATATTGCCTATTTCTAGAGAAATCAAAAGCGCTGCAAGCATATCATTCATTTATATTCTTCCAGTCTCTTAGTCTCTGTACATTTAATGTCAAGATATTTGGACTTGTTGACTTGAAATAAAGTAACAGATGGTTATTTTCACGTCACAGAGCAAGGGTTGATTATGTTCAGCACCATGTTGTTTCACTGTTTTTTAAATCCAGATTTAGCATCTTCACACCTCCCACCTATCCTTAATGTACATATGTTCAATAATTCAACCCTTGATTCCTCTGAATAACCAAGATACTGAGAAAAGTCAGTAAATCCAACCTTTTCCTGTGGTCTTAATTTAAAATGTGGGGGGCAAAAGAGTTGTCTGACTTGTTTAATGATATTAAAAAAGAAAACTGTATTTTTTGATGAAAAACATGCAGACTTTATGAGAGTTATTATAGTTAACTTAAACTGAACTTAAACACTGAAGAGAGACTTTCAAAAACATAAAAAAAAAATCATACAAACCTTTGAACGATATTGTCACGAATCCGGTCTATGAACTTTCAATTCACTCACCACCAGAGGTCACCCTTCCATTACATTGACTCTCGCACTACACAAACTGTTGCATGTCATCCTGGACTACATATCCCATCATCCACTGCACTGATTGCACACAGCTGTAACCAATCACACATTCACTATATAACACTCACTCTGATCCCTTTCAAACGGCCGAGTACTGTTTAGTGCATATCACTCACCTAGCGATAGCTACTCTACGGAGCCAGTTCTAGTTTTCATTGTTTAGTCTTAGTCTTAGTCTTAGTCTTATGCCGAGTTCACACTGCACGATTTTAGCCCGATTTTTCACTCACTGCACGATTTTAG